CTACATGTGTATGATAATTTAAAAAAATTAAATATTCAAAGACATGAATGAACATATTTTTTCTAAATATTTATTTTTAAAAAGGATGAAAAATGAACATTGCATTGAAGTTTATAGTTTTTCATTGGCAACAATCAGTGTAGCTCATTAAACAGGAGAAGTGTGTTCACTGAGTGAAGATGAAATATTCCAGTCCTGTTTTCATACTTGTGTTTAAGATAATGGTGGTGGGTGGATGACGGTACAAAAAGATGTTTTTTTTTCTACTCTTGACTATACGGTGCGTCTCACAATTGGTTGTGTTTGCCGGTTTCCTTGGTGACCTTCCTTAATTACCCACTTCAGCTGTATGCCAAATGAATGTGTGTGTTGGTGTGTGTGTGTGTATGTGTGTGTGTATGTGTATGTATGTACAAGTCTGCACATGCTTTTATGTGGGTGTGATTCCTCACAAGTTTGCCCGGAGGAAATGTTTTGGAGGTTTTTTTTTTTCCCTGCCGTCTGTGTTCAGTGAGTCTGTATCTTATCAGGCTCGCTCTCTGTTTGAGGTCACTGAAAGTGTCGAGGTTTTGGTTTCTGAGCCAACTAAGTTTCTAACATATTTTAGAATATTTTCATCTGGGATTATGTTTCACTAATAGTTCAAAGACCTGCAGAMTCTTCTTTAACCTTTCAGTAGTTGAAATATGAAACAGAAGGAGCATGTTTAGGAACTGGGAATGGAAACCATAAGATTGTTGTCATGCACAATCGCTGTCAAAGGTATAGATCGATTACATTAGGTGCGTCTGAAATATCTACAACCCAAATTCCATAATACTTGGTCCACTGTGTAACTGTAAACAGAAACAAAACTCCATGAAATATAAATAAACATCGAAAGAAAGAAAGTGTCCTTTTTTAAGTATGGACATTTTAAATGTTATGGCAGCAATGCTTCTCAAAACGTTGAGTAGCATCCTCTCTTCTTTTAACAACAAGCTGTAAATGTTAATATTTACAGTATATGGAGATCAGCTGGAGTTTTTTGGAGAGGAAGATTCTTGTCTGATGTAGGACTGCAGCTGTTTAACAGACCTGGGTCATAGTTGATGTATTTCTTTTGGGAGCAGATGCTGTTTTAAAATGTGTATAAACTYGTCTGCATTGATGGTGCCTTTCTGGATGTGTACGCTACTCTGMGACACTAATGCACCCCCACAGCATCAGAGAGGCAGGTTTTTCAACTGTAAATTAATAAGTCATAGGGCAGTCCCTCTCCTCTTTAGTAAAAAAGGATGTAGTGTGTGTGTGGTTCCCAAAAATAATTTCTAACTTTAATTCATCTGACCACAAAACAGTTTTCATTTTCACCTCAAGTCTATTTTAAATGAACATTGGTCCAGAGAAGACAACAGTGTTTCTGGATGGTGTTTACATGTTTGTTTGTTTTTTTTTTGCTTTAACCTGCATTTAAAAAAAATGACAAACTATGTTTACAGATGATTTGTTGAAGTGTTCCTGAGTCCATGCTGATGTCCATCATAGAATCAGACCTGTTTTTAATACAGTGGCCCCCTAAGGGCCCAAAGATCACAGCCATCCAATGTTGACTTTCAGCCTTTAGTCCTTTCAGCTCAGAGATTTCTCTAAATTYAAGAAATGTTTTCATGATATTTAAACTTAGGATGGTGAGCTAGTGAAAGTCACTCAAAAAAATCAAAATGTTTGCACTAGATTTACTTAAATAAATTATGTTCAACAGGTTCTACTAAAATGAATTGAGTAAATCCAAAGCAATTTTTTCACTTTCCTTGTAAGTGAAAGTAAAATAATTGTGTTAGATTTACTCAGTTCAGTTGAGTAGATGAAAATATTTAGTTATTTTTTTCTGAACGAGGACATTGGGCCTCATGCAAGAACCGTTTGTACGCACAGATTTGTTCTTAAGTTGTGCGTACGAGTGATT